AGATAGATAGATAGATAGATAGATAGATAGATAGATAGATAGATAGATAGATAGATAGATAGATAGATAGATAGATAGATAGATATAAATAAGTATGTTTATAACAGTGTAACAACAGCACTGTATGGGAGTTTGCTTTGAGTGTTTTTCTGAGCTGCAGCTCCAGCTTCCGGGTTTCTGTCTACGTCAGCTTTTACGTGCGACGCGGCAGGAACCATCCGGGTTTGCATCATCCGGGAGGGACGGGGCGCGCAGCCCGGGGTGAAGGGACGGAGAGCATCACCAGAATGGGCGCAATCTGCGGACAAATAAACTAACAAACATTAGCATATGTAAATGTTGAGCCAGAGGCGCCTCCTCCCTGCTGCAGCTCCGTGTCCGGGGGGTTCGCTGTGATAAAGCAGCGTGGGGAGTCCGTGGAGCCAGTCGGCTGTGATCGTGGGGCAGCAGTGGCAGGACGGAATCCACCGAAGGTGTTTTTACCTGGAGCAAAGTGCGAAGTCCTCAATCTGAGGACAGATATGAGCTGTGAAGAGCTTTAATCTAACTTATGTGCGCCTTTTACAAAAAAAAGTCTCTAAGATATTAATTTAAAGTCAGCATCAAAGATGTCTTGCCTTTTATTAGGAGTCATTCGAAGGTGAGTAGTCTATCAGTGCCATTCACTCATTTCTGATCTCATTTTATTGGAATAATAAATGTGTTTTTGATGTGACCTATCAGGGTTAACCTTTGTTCAATAGTTACTAGAAGCAGAGCTTGAACTTGTGGTTCTCCATTGCAGTCAGAAACTTGTCAGACTTGATTTGGCTGCACGTCAACCGACATTCAGGAAAATAAATATTTCTCTCTGTATGTTTGGTATAATTGTCTGTAATTCTTCCTTTTGCAAACTGCACTGTGCCTGAAGGCTTTGTGGTGAGGCCGCATCACTCAGGAGGCCTGGACTCAATGTGAGCAATCAGTTTAAATGAGTGTGTGCTTTTATTTCATCTCTAAAGGTGCATGCCAAGGACACATGTTGACGCTTTTCACCAGCACCAGGTTCCTGTGCCCTCTGTTTGTGTTTCTGCTTGAAGGACTGTTGCTGAGTGCATTCGTCAATGAAATGTGGTGTAATTCTGCATGTTTTGTGCATGTTTGTCTGCTGTGACGCTGCTGTTTAACCAGGATATGTGAGGTAGGGGCAGTGAGGTGTGCAGGGCTGTGGTGTGTGTGGATTGGCTTGTCCACTCAGAGGTGTGGTTCCTTTATGGCAGCCTAGTGGTTAGGGTATAGAGCTTGGAATCCAGAGCCCCACTCCCACAGACTGCCACTCTGGGCGCCCCACGATGGCAGCCCACTGCTCCCCAAAGGAAAGGGTTAAATGCAGAAGTGATTTTCTCCAATGTGAGATCAATTATTATTATTAAATGAAAACAGATGGACCAGGATTCCTTGCCCTCCTTGCCGGATTTTCACGTTTACTCCTTCTCCCGAGGGTTAAAAACATCTTGATCTTACAAAACGCATCATGTGGCAAAATTCTTCAACTTATCTTGTTCAGGGTGGGACTGCAGAGGAGAACAGGAAGCAGTTTGGGGGGAAACTAGAGCAAAGGTTACAAGCATACACAGCCTAAAGAGAATCAGATCATCTTCAGAGAGGATCTGATCTGGCTCGACTAGTTTGACAGCATATTTCTAAATTTTTTTTTTTACATGCTTCACCTCAATTTAAATTGAAATTCTATTCAGGTGATCTCCCGTCTTTAAATCGTGATCACACTCACTGTAATGTTTAGCTGTGTCCCTCCAGTTAGTGTAATTAAATGCATGACAGGATTAATGTGCCTAATTGATGAGCTGCATGGTTAGGAGCCTGACTGCTTTAGATCTGACTGAACAGACTGTTTTCATATATATCGCTTTAAAAAAAGCTCTACAAAGGGTCTTTATCCCTAAAGGTTTCTGGGGCAAGGGTCTGTCTGTGGGTTAGGGGGGAACGGTGGGGTTATTTGTTTAGTTTCCACCCCACTGATCTGTCATTGATCTGCTCAACTCAGCAAATGATTACATCTTGTAGCTGCATGGTAATGTGTAAAATGTCAGGGTGCAACGATGCATGCACAACTTCAGGAAAACAATTCTTTGAAAGGATGAATTCCTATTTATTTTTGTTTTCAGGAACAGATTAAAGGTTTTTCTAATCCTGAACTGTGTTTTAAAGATCGTCTGTTTGAATTTGAAGTATAGAGATTACGTTTTGGTAATGCAGTTTAGATTTCAAACAAAAGAGCATTGAATACAGTCAAGATTGATAAAGAAAAGAAAGACATGAGATACTTTATGAAATGATAAAGTTGGTGCTAATATTACAAGCTAGCAATTAGCTATAGCCTCACAGTGTAAATCATCAATGCTCTAAATCCCTTCTCTGTACCCAAAATGTCCTCACACAAAAAATGTAAATGTGTCAAAAGATTCTCTGGGACTTCCCTAAAGCCGGACTTACACTGTGCAATTTTTTTCAATCGTTGCACGCAGCTGCAGCTCACACTGTACGACGAAACGGCAGGGTTTTATCGTACAGTATGAGTTCACAGTTCACGATGCATGTTCGGCGCAACGCTCTAATGCGATCTACCTGCTCACACCGTACGACTAAAAACCACGTCGGACTCCGCTCCACAGTGAGATGGCGCTACTTGGACTCATCTATCCAGAAGCCAAATGAGTAGAACAGGAATATGAAGCTCACTAAGATAAAACGTGCTGTCTTGGCAGTTTGTGCAATTTTGTGCTGAAAGCCCTAAAAAGAAAAGGCGACGACGTATTTGGACAAAGGCATGGCTGAGCAAACGTGGCTACTACGGTCTGTCAATTTTACAGAAAGAACTCCATTTCACTCGCTGCCCGCCATACTTCTGTGTGTTCATCTGAGATGAAGAGGAAGAAGAAGAATCCTTGTTTCCCCACTGAGCGATTAGCCAGGGACGGACAACTGAAAATCAAACATGTTCGATTTTCTCTGACCTCGCAATTCCTGATCGGGAGGTGGTCATGAGAGGCTCGTCGTTACCCCCTGTACACTACATGACGCACAATCAGACTGAAAGTCAGCCCTATCGAAAAACTCTTGCACAACTGGAAAATCGGCCCAAAAACAGCAAAAAATCCCACAGTGTAAGCTCGGCTTAACTGAGTGCTTTAGGCCTGACTACAAATCTTTAGTGGTTTTTACTTTGACACACCGAAGCAACCCGGACAATCGTCAATTTCGAGAACAACACAAGATTTTCGGGTGTTCTCGGAATAAATACCTTTAAAATGTTTGAAAGGTCATAAACTAATCTTCCATTCCATTTCATTTTCCATCACACTTAATACCAAATCGGGTCACGAGGGCTACTGGTGCCTATCTTCAGCGGGCGATAGGCGGGTACACCCTGGACAGGTCGCCAGTCCATCACAGGCATAAACTAAGAAGTTTCCACTACCCAGATTTATTAAAAACTGTTAGATTGTACTTTAGCTTGAAAGTACAGTGACATTAGCATGTATAGTTAATAAGTCACACAGTGCTAGCGAATGGTTTGGTGATTTTCTTTGTTTTAACAAGAACCCAACATGTTGCAAAAGACCTCAGAGAAGTGGAGGCTTAGTGCACTTCATCAAATGGTTAACATTTGATTAAGATCTGCTTCCTTTTCTCTTTCACAATAAGACTCTTGTCATCAATAGATCTCTACTCTGTTGATATCTAGACATTAGAAAGTGGTTTAAAAGTTATCAGGGCAGCTCCAAAGGCCTAGACTGAGTCAGAAATCAGAGGACGTCCCGTGTTAAGAGGCAAATCTTAACCACTGTGTCAGGGATTTAGTTTATGAGCAAATATCAGCAAACCTGCATGTACGTCAGCCCCGCCTATGTGAGGTCCAAAGGTAAGCCATCTAGGAACACGCTCACATGTTAAAGTCAAACAGAGGAGACAACAGAATATGGTACATGTGGAACATCCACAGTCAGCGTTTTCATTGTTACCATCCATTGTTCAGCTCCAAGCTGCATACAGCTATGAAGACCATGGCCCATAATGGGTTTTCTGAAACCAAAAGGGTTTACCTTCTGGTTTACCATCTCTTGACATCCAGCTGCCTGATCTTACTTCCAGTTTATCTCCCAGATAAGAATATCAAAGATGAACACTTCCTCTCAGCCTTCTGGGACATTTGCTTTGCACTCTCAGCACAAACTTCACCATGTTGATGATTAATTGTTCACTATGACTGAAACTAACCTCAAAGCACAGGTTCAAAGAAAGTAATTTAACCAGTTTCTAGCTCTTTGTTCTTGTGCTGCATAGTCATACGTTCATCATCCTGTCTGCTGCATATTTCCTTGTCTTTTTAGACTGGATTTACGCGTTTATCTGCATGCTTTTATTGCATACGTGGTGTTCACCTAAAAAAAACACTGCGCATCTGAACAAGAGATAATGCCAATCTTTATGTCATCTACCTTATGTGAAAGTGCTACCCTTGTTAAACCAGCCAATCCTTTACTCTTGTTTAAATAGTTATCCGTACTCCCTCATAACTGCTGAACATACAGAGTTTAAGTTACCACATGGAGTCAGCAACAGCAGAGAAGATAACACTGTATGCTCTATGGTCAGGCAACACACACACACACAGGTTTGTGTTTTACCCGTAAACATGGCAACCGCCGCTCACTGGCTAGTGTACATGAATATTATGCTGCTGGCAAACAATAGCTTGGCTCCCCCACAGCCCCTCCTTTGTCCACAGATGTCATCATGAGGTTTGCTGTTCAACCTAAAACCCAGAAAAGACTAATCCGCCCTTTTTTCCCATAAAAAATGCCAAAACAAAGCTATGGTTGCGCATGAAAACATTAGATTACACTTGGCAGAGATAGAAGACTAAATCCATGTGAAAACTCTGTAAAAAAGGACACTTGGATAGATGGTATCATCAGTGTCCTAACTAGAGCAGGTGTGGGAAAAGTATCGCTACCTGGCAATGACTAAATAATCTGAACCAGTTAATCACAACTACAGTAAAGTTTAGCTCTTAAGTCAAAGTATCTTGTCTCTACAGGCAGGGTGGAGTTGGGGCCGGTGTCGGGGTCCGCTCTCTGGCCTCCATCCCTTCCCTACCACCGGCAGTGGCTGATTTTGTGAAAGGAGCGGTAGACGAGTGCAAGCCCGCAAATGTCCAAGTAGTGACTGGTACTCCTGAGGAGACGGCCAACATCCTGGCCGGCCTGGAAAGGGACGGCATGGTCAAGAAGCTTCCTAAATATGAGAACTGGTGAGTTATACTGATGACTGCCTATTAACATCTAGTTTACCCTGAAGTTCCTGCAGCTAAACTTTGTGTTTGGCAGTTGGCTGGCCCGCACAGACCCAAAGGACGTGGCCCGAGTAGAGAGTAAGACCGTGATTGTAACCAAGAACCAGAGGGACACCATCCCCATCCCCGCTGGAGGGGTGAAGAGCCAATTGGGAAGCTGGATGAGTGAACCAGACTGGCACAAAGCCAGAGAAGACCGTTTTCCTGGCTGTATGGCAGGTAGGTCTACTGATCCATATGACCTAACCTATCTGGGTCACTTTCAATTACTTGAAAGGGTTAAGATTGCTGAAAGAAAGTTTTTCTGTTTGGGCCAAAGACCCAAGGCTATAGGCGACTGGTATCTCAGATGTATGTCTTATCTCATTGCTGCAAATAACAGCTGAAAGTGTCACAGATTACCCTCCAGACATGATCTGGGACATCTAAAAGACTTTAACCTCTGGATCCAACAGGCAATGCAAACCCTTATATTTACTCTCGCTTTGGTTAGTTTTTTTTTAAATCTTTTTTTCACTGGTTTGTTTTGTACTTTACCTGTGGTTGATGTCCATTAGTTTCGAGTCATAGATTATTTTAAAGGTTGCAGGTGGCAAAAGATGCAATGTCTCCTTCTAATGGTGTTGTGCCATTGTGGGAGTTTATCACTGACCTAAAATGTTTGAATTCTTTTCGCATTGTTTTATTAACTCTGCTGTTAAATGGCTGCTTTCAGTCAGTGTAGTTCAGTTAGGTTCTCTTATTTTCTGTGCATAGATGAAACATTGGCTTATTTAGGTACTGGAGGAGTACATAGCTCTGATGAATTGGACTATATACTGCGATCTGGCAGTTTGTCCAATGCTTTAGTTAAAGATGCTACTATCCTGCAACTTTTAGATGCATCCCTGCTCCTCCTAAATTACATGAATGGCTCTTTTCCAGACTTCTAACTACGTGAATGAAATGCTGATGTGAGAATTTCACCGTTTCATTCAGTTGTTGTAGAAGGGATGCACACAAAAGTTGCAGGATTGTAGCTCTGGAGGACTCCACATTTTCCTACACCTCTGAGAAGATTAAAGACCCGTGGGTCAGATTATAAAGTGCTTAATCAAAACTGAAGAAAACTTTAGACTAAATTTGTAGGCAGATTTTGGTTTTATAATCCAGTACCGAATCGTAGACTTTTTTTGGTGAGCAAAGTCATCAAGAACATTTTGAATTTTCTTGTTCTGCAACTGAAATATTCAGATCAAGACTGAGACATTGCAATGTTGAATGTCAGTTTTGAAAAATCTAAGTATCTAAAACACATTTTTTGTTTCCATAAACAGACTGGTCCCAGGTCTGATCTTTGTTTTTAATAATCTACAATAAAGGTATAAAATATTTCCATCCTGGGTTTAATAGTGTGTTCATCATGATCTATACACTTCTCCAAAGCAAAGAGGTTGTTCTTAGTTTTGTTCAGAGTTAAAAGGGACCGTTCTGGTTTCACCAATTTAATCATACAATAAACAATAAGCTAACCAAGCCCCATTTGTAAACAATCTTTTTCAAAGTTCTTTAATCAGATCCCAAATTCAGTGTCATTAGCCGGCCGTCGCATATTTTTTGTTGTTTGCAATTCCGAACTTGTTTTGGGCACAACTCATGTAAGTAAGTAATGGTCTCCCTCCAGTATCAAGCTTCATCAGCCACTTGATGCCACTTTATGATGCTGATTAACTGTTTCTTTAATGAAATATCTCCTAGTTTTTTATTTCTTTATGATGCCAATAAATGGTGATTTGCCAGTAGTATACTACAAATAGGCAGGGGAAAAAAAGTATAAACATAGTAAACAAAGTACAAATGTTATCATAATATCTGCTCATAGACGTATAACTGAATTGATGAGCATTCCTGATTTGTCTTTGGTTTATTCTGTGTTACGTTTTGGTGTAGGCTTGAAAATCTGCGTTAAATGAGTGTATATGTGCTCTGACTTCATGTGACTGTATGCTGGTCTCTAATTAGCGAAATAGAGGGGGCTCAAAGCTGTGGCCAATCAGTGCTTTGTTTGTCATCCTTCATCCAATCAGATTAACCCAGGATGCATGTCAGTCAAAGTCAAACTCATGGCGGATTAGTGGCTTTTCCCACAGATGGAAGCTGAAGTTGAGAAAGAATAATTCAGCAAAAGAAAACTGAAGACATTTATTTAAAGATGAATAATTTTACAAATTTTTGGCCGGAGGAATAAAAATGCAACTAAAGAAAATTAAACCGGATTTAAAAATTCTGCATTAGGCAGGTAGAGTTCATTACTATGTTGTAATCTCTGATCTCTAGTGCGCCCCTTGATAATTTCCTATCACCTGCTGTCATGTCAACATGAACCCATGGAGCAAACCATCAAACATCAGTTTATTTGAAGACACAACTCTGACCCGAGGATGTCCTCTCTGACTTTAGATAAACTGAGGTCAAAAAAATGATCTATTTCTACATTTAAGCTCTTAAAAAAACGGACTTATTTATTTGTCCAGCACCTTTCCCTTATTTCTTTAGCATTCTAATATCTACCAGTTGCTGTTTTAAACAGATCTTGTAGGATTAATGTGATTATAAAAACAAAAAAAAGGGTTTATTTTCATTTTACATAAAAATAAAAATCCAACTTTTATTGCAAATATCTGTCAAAAATATAGAAATAATTATCCCTAATGGTTTTCTAATTGCGTGTTTTGGTCTTCCTTGTAGGTCGGACCATGTACGTGATTCCCTTCAGCATGGGACCTGTGGGCTCAACGCTAAGCAAATATGGCGTCCAGGTACTTTCTGTTCTCTAGATACCTGCTACTCAGCAAAAACAGCCTGCAATAAAACCATAAGCCTGCAGGATTGTTTTAGTCGTGAATGATTTGTAATGCATTGTTGTGGTTTATTATCTAGCCTGATTAGTCTCTGTGCAGTTTTATGGTCATAACCTCTGGATCGTGTGCATCCTCTAGGTGACAGACTCTCCATATGTGGTGGCCAGCATGGGGATCATGACCCGTATGGGCAGTCCTGTTCTGCAGAAACTGTCTGAAGGAGCGGAGTTTGTCCGCTGCCAGCACTCGTTAGGACGACCTCTCCCACTCAAAGGTACGCAGAAACGTTTACTTTTGTACTTCAAGGAAGTATTCATGGGAAAATTCACTTTCATTATCTCTCCTCTAGCTCCTCTAGTCAACTCTTGGCCTTGCAACCCGGAGAAAGTCCTAATATCCCACCTACCGGACACCAGGCAGATCTTGTCCTTCGGCAGTGGTTATGGAGGAAACTCTCTGCTTGGGAAGAAGTGCTTTGCTCTCCGCATCGCCTCCCGCATCGCCAAGGATGAGGGCTGGCTGGCTGAGCACATGTTGGTGAGAGCAAAAGAAAATCATTAAATTAGTTTGCATACACTGTAGAGCCATCTTTGTTCACCCTTTTTTTCTGTTCTTAGATCCTTGGGATCACAAACCCTCAGGGTGTGAAGCGTTACGTGGCGGCGGCCTTCCCCAGCGCCTGTGGTAAAACCAACCTGGCCATGATGAAGCCTGCCCTCCCAGGCTGGAAGGTGGAGTGCGTGGGAGACGACATTGCATGGATGAAGTTTGACAGTCAAGGTGAGTGCAGGTCTATTGAAATCCACCCTGACTTTGTCACTACAGGCTGCTCTGAATCAGGCCTCTCACTCCTCTGTAGGCAAACTCAGGGCCATCAACCCAGAGAACGGGTTCTTTGGAGTCGCTCCAGGCACTTCGGACAAGACCAACCCTTACGCCATGGCTACCATCTCCAAAAACACGGTGTTCACCAACGTCGGCGAGACGAGCGACGGCGGAGTGTGGTGGGAGGGGCTCGACCCCCCTCCGGCTGGAGTTACTCTGACTGATTGGCATGGAAAAACATGGAAGCCAGGTACCAGTGGGATCATATTCAGACTCGCTAGGCCCTAAAAGGCGGCAATAAAGTTTGATTGATGTAAATATCTCCTTAGATAATGTTTTTCTCCACATTTACCACATTATTACTTGTCAAAAATTCAAGTTTAAATGCAAATGGTGTACAGCACCATCTAGTGGTTTACCAAAGTAATTACTTTTTTATGTTTTGAAACAATTTGAAGCATATTTTTGATATACTTATAATAATAATAATAATAACATTTAATGCTTTGAACACAGTAAAAAAATGTTTTTTTCTTTTTGCACACAGGAAGCTCCACACCATGTGCCCACCCCAACTCACGCTTCTGCACCCCAGCAGCTCAGTGCCCCATCATTGACCCCCAGTGGGAGAGTGAGGAAGGGGTTCCCATTGATGCCATCATCTTTGGAGGCAGAAGGCCTGAAGGTTTGTACTCGCTCATATAAAACACGATCAGATTTCTATAACATTTTACAAGCCGGAAGCTATAGATAAAGGGATCTTTGACCATTTCTCTTTGCACGGTGTCTCTGAATTGAACTCTTGCATGTTTTTCTCTTTAGTCAATGCTGATAAAACTTAGGTCAGGTTATGGGGATGGCCATGAAATATTTTTGTTTTTGCTATTCTGCTTCATCTTGGGCTGATATCATGCAAAAAAACAACAATTTCAGTTCTCTAGAAGAGTCCACCAAGTGTCGCCTCTTCTTTATACACGTTTCTCCGTGGGATTTGGAAAAGTATCAGGCCCACAGCATCATAGATCCTCCTCTGCACTTAACAGTGGGGAGGGGATTCATTTCCTCTATTTATAGGTTATTTCAGATCAAACTGAAATCGACAGTTTGTTGCTCTTTTTTCTACCTAAACAGTGAACTTATTAAAGGTCTAGTAAAGTTTAACCTATTACCAGGAGGGACTTTTTAAATGAAATGCCCACTGACACTGATTGATAGCATCTAATGTTTCCCAGTGATTATCTAAACCCTTAATAATCTCATCCTTTGCTGCAGTTCTCTAATTGGTCCCATTCTTCCCAGTATCTTAAATAGCAAGAAAATCATGAGCTCTGCTCTTTTTTTATCATGCCTCTGGCTGCACACCTCTTGTACAAGTAGTTTTTTTGCTTCTCTTTTCTGACTTTTAAAGGCGAGTTTATTTCTGCCCTTTTGAATGACATGCTCCTTATATTTCTGATGATAAACTCATATTTATTCGCCTTGGGAAATAGTTATAGGTCAATAACAATACTTTTCCAGAAACCTTGATTAGCTATAAGGGGTAATGTCTAAATGATATTGTAAAAAGAAATAATGGGGTACAGGAGTAGTTCCTCACAAAATCAATATTCTTCAGTGAAATGTTTTTTTTTCTAAAACTAAGAGCAGTTATAATAGTTTTCTGTCTTCCTGATAAAAAACAAAACAAAACAACGAATAACTTACCACAGTTATGTTACATTTAGTAACTTGGACAACATTTAAAAACAGCTGCAGTAAAGAAGACGTTATATTTTTGCTTTCAGGAGTCCCGCTGGTCTATGAGTCTTTCAGCTGGCAGCATGGAGTGTTTGTTGGAGCTGCAATGAGGTCAGAGGCCACAGCAGCTGCAGAACATAAAGGTAGGCATCTTCAGACATTTGGAGGTTTACATTTCTAACTAGAAACTCTTTTAAATTCATGAAAATGTACCTTTACTCCAGGTAAAGTCATCATGCATGACCCCTTCGCCATGCGTCCGTTCTTTGGCTACAACTTTGGAGACTACCTCGCTCACTGGCTGAGCATGCAGACCAGGAAGGCCCCCACTCACCTGCCTAAGATCTTCCACGTCAACTGGTTCAGGAAGGACCCGGCAACCGGAGCCTTCCTCTGGCCCGGGTTTGGAGAAAACGCCCGCGTGTTGGAGTGGATCTTCAAGCGCTGCGGCAGAGAGCGGGAAGACGAGGCGGCCAGAAAGAGCTACGTCGGTTGGCTGCCAGAAACCGGCGCCATCGACACTAAAGGTTTGGGCAGTAAGGTGGATATGGGCGCCCTGTTCGATGTGCCCAAACCTTTCTGGCAGAAGGAGACCAAGGAGCTGAGAGCGTACTTCACCCAGCAGGTGGGAGCTGACCTGCCTGCTCAGGTGGAAGCTGAGCTAAAGGCGCTAGAGGACAGAGTCCACAGTTAGACACGTTTAAAACCAGGGATAGGAAGCTAATCTGGAAGAAGGGAGGCACTCAGGGAAGACAGGTTATCAGGGTCAGTTAGAGCCACTGACTGGGTTTACATATGCAGAGAAGTCTGACACATCTAAACAAAACTTGTTTTTCTGTGCTACTTGACCACAAACAGGTAAAAATTAGAAGATCAAACTTCCTCTGTCCGTTTGAACACAGTCAGTGAGCCCTGCTGTCCCCAAAAACACAATAGCTACATTTTAGACACTACAAATGCTGCAACAATAAAGCAACCGGTGCCCAGTTAGCACCAACATTGAATTATAATACTCAGGCTGAAGGTTAATTTCTGAGAGGGACCCAAACATCTCTACCTCCATCCACACACACCTGCCAGCATGTCGCCGGCGTCCAATCAGGGACCTTGAAGTGCCTTGTAGAGTTTACAGGCTTTAGACCAAATAGCTTTTTAAGTAATAATTTTTACACCTTTAAAACATTAACACACATTTTAAGACACACTTAGTGTCTTAAAATGTTTTTTATTACTGAATTAAGCTCATCTTGATTAACTCGTTCCCTACAATGATATTTTAAGAACCCAGGATCTTTAAATATATATTTCACTCGGCCGCTTGTGTAATGATTGTGATTAAATAGGAATTCAGCTGATGTTTACACTCAGTTTGTTAAATGTTGGACCAATAAACGCCTCAGAGATTATCAGGCGTTTTTTTTTTAAAGTTTATATGACAGTGCAATGAAAGACAAAATCTTCATATGTGACTTGTTCATTTTTACAGTGACTTGAAAAATAAATGGTGCCTTGTGAAAGTTTTCATTTTGTTTGTTGGACTTTTTTGTTTCCATTTTCTCTTTCAAACACCGAATGATGAGCTTGTTCGGTTTTATATGTTAGTTCACAATATAAAATATAAAATATATATATATATATATATATATATATATATATATATATATATATATATATATATATTGGAATATAACTCAGTTAATTTAAGAATCTCATGTCATTATTACATTGATTTGTTATTTTCATGACTACAATACATATGTATATATATATATATAATTTTTTTATTTCATCAATTAGGAAGATTATGCCTCACAGCTAATATAAACTCAAAGTCGTTTTTTCAGTTTATTAAATATTGCAAAAGCCCAAAAAGTTTATGAATCTAAAAAATACACTGGTTTCACTCTGATGTCTGATATCATTTATAAAATACATAATGCAAAAAGTGAGAAAAAAATATTTTAAAATTTGGGTAAATATATTGCAATCATTTTACATTAAAAAAAACTTTTAATTCATTAAAGTTAAACCACAGAGTAACGCTGCATCACAGCTGTGAGTCTGCTGCCACCTAGCGGTTGCCTTTAGGAGGGACATTAACCAGATGGAGAAGAACATGCACTCTTAAAGCATTTTGGGTCATGTTACCCAAGGACAGTTGTTGGTTTTCTGTTCAGTTAATAAAAGCAGATACAATTTTACCAGATTTGATCAAATATTGATGTAAATAAAATCTAAAATATTAGGATGCTGCTGAGTAATTTAATATTTTTCATTTTCCGCATATTCTCAACCCCACCTTGAGTGTTTTTCTCTCAGTAAACAAAGAAAATGCATATGATATAAAAAAAGAACATATGTTACTCCAACAAAGATAATATTTAATGTTCAAACAGTTGTTCTGCTCTTCTTTCTCTTGCTCTTCTTAATCATCAAAGGAGACAATGAGTTCAGCTGTTAAAATCATTCTTATACTAATATTTGACAAACAGAGACAGTTTTTAAAGACCAACCATTATAAAAGACACATTTCTTTTGAGAGAGTAGCAATAATACCCAAACCAATGAGATAATCTCAGGTATCTGTCAGGATTTGGTTGAGGTTTAAGGACCCAAATGCAGAGGCAGGGAGGCAGAGGTGGGTTTCGTGATGATTTAATTAAGTGTTTTCAAACAACTGAGGCAAGAATCCAAAAATCCAACAATAAATCCAACAAAAAAAAAGTTAAACCATCCAGAAAACATAGACATCAGGGGGGAAGACTATCACGAGGAGGAAGACGGAGTTGGAGGAACTGAACAGAGGGTGTATTTATGGGAGACTGAAACAAAGAGAAGACTAACGAGCAGATTGGGAGCAGGTGTGAAGCAGGTGTGAACAGAGCAGAAGGAAAAAGAGCTAGAGAAAGAGGAGAACACAAGAGGGCAGCAGAGGGCAACAAATAAAAACCTGAAAACAACCAGAAAATAAGTATTAAACCACTAAAACAAGAAAACAAGGAGTGAAGTAAAAACCGAAAACTGAAAAGAAAACATAACAGAACCAGAACTATGACAGTATCAAACACACAGCATTGAATATACAAGTTAGACGTGTTTCTTAAAATAAAATCTTTGCAGCTAATCTTTCATGCTTGACCTCATCATCCAAGTCGACAATAACCAATCACCTCTGCATTTAACCCATCCCCATGGGGAGCAGGGGGCTGCCATTGTGCGGCGCCCGGGGAGCAGTGAAGTGTTTTGCTCAGGGACCCAAAGTGCAGGCTGTGGTGAATCAAACCAGGCACTTGCAACATTCTCAGAGCACAAGCACACTGCTCTAACCACTAAACTAACACTTCCCCTGTAAGAGAGAAATATTATTTTAATGTCAAATTGACGGTGAACACCAAGCATTTGAGTTGGTGCCTAGAACTCAATGCGTTCATCACTTATTTTGAGTCTAATCAGCATTATTTGAACATTAATTTCAGGGATGCTATCTCAACGTTGATTAGATTAGTAAAATCAAAACTAAATTTAGCAGATATCCATCACAACTACCTTGTTATGATTCAACAGTGCGTTATATCAAAACCCAGTGCCATGTCCAGTATCTGCTCCTATTCCTTTTTTCAACATTCTTTACCCTTACATTTTGTCAAGCCCCTGATTCATGCCTTTAATNACATTTTGTCAAGCCCCTGATTCATGCCTTTAATTCAAGTGTTTCTTAGGACCAATAAAGAGAAAAAGGAGTGGACAGACTTCTGTGTGGCTGTTTGCGATGTGGCTCCTCACTACAAGTACTACAAGAGTGGCAAGATGCCCTCTGGTATCTTAGTTGTTATGATTATTGTTTTTCACATTAATAGAATAAGCAGGAGAAGATGGATGCAAGATTAAAGTTTGTGTCCAAACTAGGAAAGATGGGAAAGATGCTTTTAGAGGGGTCAATCTGGTTCGACCCATGCAAGCCGCCCATGCGTCTTGTGAAGGACAGCTACTTTATGACACAACGTAATTTTTATGACATGCCTGATCATGGCTTCGGGGAGTGAGGGTGATGGGATTGCGTGGCGAGAGGGAAATTTTTTTTTTTAAATGTATTAAAAATACTTTGTAGAATTTATAAATTTCTTTTGAACATTTTGGGAAATGATTTAGACTTTTACTATTACATGTTTATGGATTTTAATGTAATTATTTTGAGGCCTTATCAACACATGTTTACGGAAGTTACATTGTCATAGCAATGTCATGCAAGCTAGTGGCAGACTAGGAAATTTACATGTCTAATGACAAAAACAAGGAGGAAATATGGCATCGAAACGCATTTTGGATTTTCTGGGAAAACCACCACTAGTGAAGAAGAACACTAGTACCACAGCCATGACAACGGAGAGCAGCCAGAGTGAGGAGACTGTCTGTCCGCCTCTGATGGCAGTTGCACCACTAGGCCAAGCCTCGGTACAGTGAACCCATCCTAGCGTGGTTGGATTAGACAAGCCCTTTCAGGAAACATCCAGTTTAAAATTTCCAGCATGGCGCCGTGGTAATGAGACGTTCTCACATTCTTGGTTTGCTAGATGGCGGTGGTTGCACTATGTGGAAAAGACAGATCAACTTTTGTGTTTCGTTTGTCTGAAAGCAGTGAGACCTTGAGACAAATTTAAGAAAGACCACCCCCATTAAATAATACTACTAATACTTCAGTTATTATATTATATTATATTATATTATATTATATTATATTATATTAAGGTGTTACTTTATTGTATCTCTTATACTATATCCGTTGGTTGTGCTGTTCTTTTTATATCTCCTTACAGGTGATGAAGCAGACCGAAAATGTTTTATCGTTATCTCCCTTTTATCTCCTCTTCCTTTTCTTTACTGTTTTACTTACATTGCTGTGTCCATATAATCTTTAATTATAATACAGCTATTTATATGCATAAATCAAACTGATCACTATGGCGATAGCCGTACTGCTCCACTTGTGAAAGCAAAATCTGTTGGACTTTTGTTTTGGCATCAAGACAATTATTATTATTGCCACATCACCAGAAAGGACACTGTAAAAAAAAAAGAAAAAGAAAAAGAAAAGACAACCCCTTCAGGAATGCCAGCTTTTCAAATTGCTGTAAAGCCACTGAAGATGATTTTATTAGAAGTTTAATTAATAGTGCATATATTCACCTGAGAACTGATTAATGTGAAGTAAAGAAGTAAAGTAATTATTTATTTATTATTTATTTAAATAGGCCTATAGGCTTATAGTTCTTTTGTCCAAATAAGAACAACAACAAAAAAATCAACCCGTGTTCAAAATTACTTCCAGCGGCCCTTTGCCTGACATTTCTAGATACCTGGACCTGGACTTGCAATGGTCTGTTTCTGGCCTGTTGCTGTTGTTAGCTGCTAACCTATTGGTTACCTTGACAACATAAGCCTATCATCACCACTTGGTTTAATAAGCACTCCACTATCATCACATCAAATGTGTTGTGTTTATTGGTAATTGTTCATTGTTGGATTAAATAAAACTTAATTGATTTGAATGTTACCAAAGATTTTTACTGCACATCTATATGCTATTTACATTATCTGCTTTCAATGATAATAGCAACATAACAATCAAATTTGACCATGTGCAAATTTGCAAATGCTCAAAACATACTTAAGCATTCTTTTTAACCATTAGCAAAAAAAAAAAATATATAAATATGTATATATAGATTAGCATCTGTATTTTAAGAGACCACTGTCTCCAGAGATAAGATTATTCACAACACAGCAATTTCCTCTTCAGCGCGGAGATCCTCTGGACTGTTAGTTAGCACTGTGAGCTGTTCACACTTGGTCTCCGGATGTTCCTGGTCCTGGACCGAGAAGGAGGAAACTTCAGGCCTGCTCTGAGTGAAATTCATATTTCCATCATGGAGTTTTTCATTTGATTTGTTGGCTATCACGTGAAGATCAACGTCCGCACCCGGTTGATTCTGTGGAAAAATACATCTTCTGATTCGGTGGTATTTAAAAAAAAAACACATAACATTCTTAACATGGAAAAACTAAGTGGACTTTTGTGGAACATGATTTATACTCCTGTTCATAATAAACCATGCACCCTGGGATCAATGGTGTGATATCATGACGTTCAACTGTGTGATGTGTAACTTAACTCTTACTTTACAATACATTACCATAAAAACAATAAAAGAGTATTATTCTTCATGCAAATACCTTACAAACCAACATATGAGAACTCCCTGCATTACTGATAGTTGTTGACACCTCGTACAGGTGCATCCGCCGAGAAACTTTCTGTTTGATCTTAATGAACCTGAAAAACATTAAAGACAATCCTATTATGCTGTGTTTCAATTGACAACACAAAAAGACAAGCTTAAAGATAGTCAAGGCAGATCTGAAACAAGAATTGTGGATGAGCAGGATTAAAATTAGGTACTTATGGCACTGTATGACTGGGGTCAGGGCGTGGTCTGCATAGAATGGTGAAAGCTGCGCTACTCTGCTTTTAATTGGCTAGTACTCACCGCCATTAATGATTACATTGGTTAACTGTAGGCATGATGACCAGTGAGCCAATCGGAGGCAGAAAAGGGTGGTTCATGCTGAGGTTATTATTGCTCATATATTAAATAACATTTACAACTTGTTAGAGTTCTGGTTCTGTTATGTTTTTTCTTTTCAGTATCCAGTTTTACTTTACTCTTTGTCTAGTTTAAATGGTTTAATTTTCATTATGTTCTCTGGTTAATTCCTAGTTACTGTTTCAGTCTTGGTTCTGTTTTGTTTCCTTTTGAGTATCCAGTTTTGCTTTACTGGTTTGTTTTCTAATTTAAAGGGTTTAATTCTTATTTTGTTGTGTTTTTCTGGTTATTTTCAGTTTTCTCGGTTTCAATTTGTTGCCCTCTGATGCCCTCTTTTGTTCTCCTTTTTCTCTAGCTCTTTTCCTCTCTTGCTCTCTGCACACCTGCTCCCAGTTTGCTAATTAGCCCTCTCTTTGTTTCTGTCTCCTATAAATGCTCTTGCTGTTCAGTTCCTCTTTGCTGGGTCCTTGTCTAACTTCGTCTCACATGCTCCTACTTCGTCTCTCTGAGTCTCCCTCATTGAGTTTTGATTCCCTGATGTCTCCATGGTTTTCTGGTTTGTTTCTTCTTATTTTTTCATGTTTTTAATTTTGGACTCCTGTTTTCTTGTTTGTTTTTTGGACTTTGTTTTCATTTTGGATTTTGGATTCTTGGTTGTCTGTTTGTTTGGACTTTGCTTTTTCAGTTACCCTTCATTGAACCAACCATAAATTCACCTCTGCTTGCCTGACTTTGCTTTTGGGTCCTCAACCCTCAAACAAATCCTGACACAAGTTTAGTATAATCTTAACGATTAACAAAGAATTGATAATTTGAAGGGAGTTAGTCAAACAACAATTTTATTTTCTAACCACAAACGTCCTTGTGAATTAAAGGTATAGCGGAGAATTTTAATGAATTTTTGAAAAGATCTGCTGCCTCCACTGCACATGCACAAATCTGTACCCGCTCCTGAGAGGTAACGCCTATTAAACGCATGCAAGAGCATGTACAAGCCCATTTCTCCCTGTGAACACTCTGTTTAAAAGTTGCTGTTTGCATGGCTCATGCAAGCTTACTTTCCAAAGGAAGATTTGCAATTTTCCCACTATGTCAGACCTACCACTGTACGTAGGATGGCTTTACGTAAACATATCACCAGAATGATTGACATTTTGTGGGACCACTTATTTTGATGATCCACCTGGAGAAAGAACATCCTCCATTGTACCTTTAACATTAGCTAGCAAATCAGCTAATGTCAGCAATGTTACCCCATTACAATTAAGCCTAATGATGCCCACTCTGCCCCCCCATCCCCGTTGGACAAGATGCTGTCAGTGAAGAAGAAGGTGCCTCTTCGCCCTTAGCCAAAGATGTTACCTAGGCTAGGTGGGCGAGCTCATTTTTATTGTTGTACCTCATAAATAATGTTAATAACATGTGAGGGGTCGACAGAACTGGGTTAGGAGGATATATCACTTTTAATGTTGTAATTGCATTTTTTAAGTTAGATATTTTTATGTTAAATATAGTTTTATTGAATAATTTGAATGATGAAATCCATATATGCATAGTATATATCTAATGAGTTACACTGAAATAGTCTTTATTTCAATTTTAAGAGTTTATCAACTTTTCCATTTATCCAATTGGATTTGAAGTGTTTTATTTTTTTTATTTAAATCTAAGCTGAAATATGAACAAGGATGTCAAATAGGTAAATGTTTAAAAAATAACGGAAAAACAATGTTCGCCTCATCAGTATTTCATATCCATGAAGGCTGCCTGTGTAATCAGTAATCCCAACAAACTGCTCCTGATTAAGTTATGTTCATTTTAATGGTGGCCCACACTAACTGTTGTAAACAAGCTGTTCAAAGAGACAATTTATACAAAAAACTACTGACTTCCTAAGTGAGAGAATAGGTGTCCTCTATGTGGATTGGCTCAGCAATAAGGAACAGGTCACTTAAAATCTATAATTGTCTCTCACTAGTCTGTAGGCCAGTGCTGAGTTATTTCATAATCCTTCCTTGCTGAGATCAAATGGTAGAAATTGAATGACAAATACAGTAAATACTAGACTGCCCAAAGGTACAGTGAGTAGCACTGCTGCCTTGCAGCAAGAAGGTTCCGGGTTCGATTCTCGGCCTAGGGTCTTTCTGCATGGAGTTTGCATGTTTTCCCTGTGAATGTGTGGGTTCTCTCCGGGTACTCTGGCTTCCTCCCGAGTCTAAAACATGACTGTGAGGTTAATTGGCTTCTATACATTTTCCTTAGGTGTGAGTGTGTGCATGAATAGTTGTTTGTCTCTGTGTTGCCCTGCGATGGACTGATGACCTGTCCAGAGTGGACTCCGCCTCTCAGACATAGACAGCTGGAGATAAACACCAGTACCCCTCACGACCCCAGTTCTGTTCTTGGACTGCATTAAAGAAGAGGGAAAGTATACCCACTTCTCCAGGGACCAGTACACTACTGGGTAGAGTGCCCTCTCTGGGTTGGGGAGGATGTACTGCCCCTAGTGGAGAAGTTTAAGTATCTTGGGGTGTTGTTCAGGAATGAGGGGAAGATTGAATGGGAGATCGATAGATCTCTCTGTAGTGTGCCTGGGCTCGCCCTTAGAGTTAGGGTGAGGAGCTCAGTCATCCAGGGGGGACTCAGAGAAGAGCCGCTGCTCTTCCATGTCGAGAGGAGCCAGCTGAGGTGGCTCAGGCATCTGGTCAGGATGCCTCCTGGTTACCTCCCTGGAGACCCAGGACACGCTGGAGGCACTATGTTTCTCAGCTGGCCTTGGAGCACCTTGGGGGTCCCCTGGATGAGCTGGGTCAAGTGGCTGGGGAGAAGGACATCTGGGCCTCCCTACTGAAGCTGCTACTGCAACCTGATCCCAAATAAGCGGAAGAAGAATGATGGAGTTCTCCGTGAAGTTTTAATTTCCACCACTATATGACCCTCAGAGTGCATTAATGCATAGACTTCAGTATATTGTTGTTTGGGGAGAGATTAGCATGAAACAGATATTGTTTAATCCACCCTCTTAGAAATTCAGAAATGAGAAGTACTTTTTGTGCTTTAACCCTCTTTCATTAAAGCCTCAGAGTTGTATTTGAGAAGATTTAAATTGTTTTCTGTATAACTTGGAAATGCTAATTGCTAGCCATTTAACATTGAATAACGCAACACTTTTGGTTTCCCTCTATTTTTTATGAGATGTACTCAAAGATCTAAAACCATCCATCCATCCATACATCCTTTTTTAAACAAGCCTATCCCAAGTGGGGTCGCGAGAGGTGGTGGTGCCTATTTCCAGCTGTCTACGGGCGAGAGGCGGGTTACAGCCTGGACAGGTCGCCAGTCCATCGCATGGCAACACAGAGACACACAGAAAGCCGGAGTACCCGCAGAGAACCCACACATGCTCAGGGAGAATATGCAAACTCCATGCAGAAAGACCCCAGGCCGGGAATCGAACCTAGAACATTCTTGCTGCAAGGCAGCAGTGCTACCCACTCAAATATTGTTCACACACCACTCTAAATCTATGATAGTGAGCACTTCTTCTTAGGGTCTGCCTTAGACTGCCCACTACATTTGTTAAGACATTTCTGAGTGGTGGATATTATTAAAGAAAAGATGGACTTGCTTTTAAAGCTGAAACATTATTTAAACGGAGAACTTAATCTAAACTTAATCTAGGGGAGTATAAAGGGGAGTATACCAGTTCATTATAGAATCCACACCTATCATGCAGCCATANATAGAATCCACACCTATCATGCAGCCATAAGTCCTTTGACAATCATGGGAGCTTTCTCTGGGTCAGTGAAGCTCCTCTATCATTCCAACCCAAGTTGTAATCCTTAGTTTTGCAGGGTACATAAGGCTATACTTGCACCTCCACAACAGCGGTCTTATCTGCCATAAAAGCCATCCTCTGCCTCACTACATACCTTATGTAGTCAGGGAACATTGATAATGTCATCTTCTTTGAAGACAAGTGTTGATTCTTTAACTGTCCTCTGTTAGATGTTCTTCTCTTGGTAGTGTTTAGCCATAAACCATGATACTTTTGTTGGACATTGGGGACCAATGTACATGCTTATGTTAACTTAAGGAAGTTTCCAACTTGTGCTACCCTCCGCCCCCTCACAAGGCACTCCTACAGGAACATGAGTCCTGCCCACCATTGTGCTTTAGGACAAAGCAAGCAACTCACTGAGACTCTGTGTTTATGCTATGAAACTCTTCTCAGGATTGCAACAGAAGGCCAGGACCTTGCAGGACCTGCAGACTGATCAAAGGCTTAGTGGACCTGGGGGCTAATTCTGAACCAAAGGGCTCCAAAAATAGACCAATCTGCAACAGTTCTCTATGAGTTACAGGAAACTTTCAGATGACTGATGAGACTTGGAGAGTAGAGCATCTGAGAACAAAGATCCCCTGCTGTGTGCCTGCCATACTAAGCTGCTGAATGAGATATCTCCACCTTTCCTGGATGGAGATCAGAAGAAGTTATAGGTCTGGCAAAGATAGGAAAAGAGTTTCTCGGTAAATAATTCAGATTAATGATGGTTTTGGATCATTTAATGTGCTTTCTGTTGTGTATGACAAGCAGACAAGATATTGTACCCCATGCTGACATGTTTTGAGCAGTGCCATGAAATAAAGCTAAAACAAGCTGTTCACATGTTTCCTTATATGCTCATCACATTTTATTACCAAAATATGACCAAAGAGTCTTTTAGGATGAGTCCTAGTTTCCAATATAATAATAATAATAATAATAATAATAATAATAATAATAATAATAATAATAATAATAATAACAACAATAATAATTGAACTTTATTGATCTTACACTGGAGGTTTTTTTTCCCCCCAGCGTTTTATTTTCATTGCACTCTCACAAGTACAGTGCAGCAAAATTAATTCTCTGCCTTTAAGCCATCCCCTTGGGGAGCAGTGGGCTGCCATTTGCAGCGCCTGGGGAGCAGCGTGGGGCTAAGGGTCTTGCCCAGAGACACAGAGTGAAGGCTGTGGGGATCAAACCGGATACTTGCAACCTACTCAGAGCACAAGCGTACTGCTCTAACCACTAGGCCAACACTCCCTGGTTATCATACCATATAGTCAAAAAAGAGCACCTCACTCCCAGATGGTTCATCAACGCCTTTGACAATGAGGCACCTCTTATCTCGAATCAGTGAATGAATAAAATTAAATTACAAAAGTAAATGTTCATCAAATTATTTTCTTGAACTAAATTGCATTTCTTTTTGCTAGTTATTTTAGATGCTAAAAATGTTGATACTCACCAAAGTAAAGCTAACAGGCAGAGGATCACAGTTCCTCCAACTAGAGTGGTCACCCAGAAAATAAATCCAGTTGGCAAACCTCAAACAAACAGACAAAAAATAATATTATTATTGTTCTTTTGTATAGTTTTTAAATTTGAACAGTTTCTTGCAGTTGTGGTTGTTTTTAAGTGCTTTATGAATAAAGTGGGTATGGTTTGATATGGTAACGGATTTGAGCTAACTTTAGAATAACTATGCATAAATATCTACCTTTATTGCCAAGATGAATCACTGCTGATCTCTGATTCCCCAGATCATTTGTAGCCTCACAGTAATACTCTCCTCCCTCAGTAACAGAGAAGCTGTAAACCTGCCCCACAGATACAATAATGGCTCCATCTGTGCTGTTCCAGAACCAGGTGAAGCTGGCAGGAGGCTTGGCTCTGCTGGAGCAGCTCAGCTCCACCCAGCTACCTGCTGACACCAAACCTGATGGACTGATGGATGCTGAGGTGTCTTTAGGAGCATCTGAGGAAAATGGGACACACATTAACTTTATTGATTAGAAACAGCTGAACCATGACGTGCTGACAGGATCACTAACATGAAACACTAAGAGTCACTTCTATCTGTGCTGTCTTGCTTCCTACATTCACAGGATATCTGGCAGAACATCTGATGTTGTATCCATCATGTGTGTCTGACAGAGTGATGGTCTCCTGGATTTTAGTTGTAAAGGTTCCATCTGTGTTTTTCTCTGTTTGTCTCTCAGAGTCTTGTTGGAGATTCCAGGTGAGTTCAGGAGGTGAGTGTGGACAGGGAGTCACAGCTGAGCAGCTTATAGTGACAGACTGATGCTCCTTCAGTTTAAGTGGGATGTTAAAGCTTGGACTCCAAGGACAATCTGAGTTTTATAAGCAAGAAGATAATTCACAAAGTAAGAAATATTGTTTGAATAAAATGAGGTTAATTTGTCTAAATTGCTTTATATAGTGTAATAATAGAAAGTTAATAATTTTACAATATACATCTGTACATTTTATTTAAGTATATATTTTTTACCTTTAACTGTTATTTGAAGAGGGTTATCACAAGCTGTAGCTCTAAACGGCCCGTTCTCAACTCTGAAGAAGTATTTGTCTGTATAACTTGTATTTAAGTTAGTAAATAAAGTGGTGCAGTTTTTTTTTCTCAGGTTTCCAATAATTTTCAATGGATGGATGTTAACCGAGTTACTGCTGTTTAAAATAACTATTTTCTGATTTAGGGACAATTTGAGGTTATTTTTCATCCAAACTCCATAGATGGGGTCGTTATTAAGTGTTTTGTCCTTTGTATTAAATCTACATGGGATTTGTAAACAAGATCCGGTCAGAGCCTCAATCTTATTCGGGGAAGAGATGGAGAGGGCTGGTCGTTTATAACAGTTACCAGCCAAAACCCCTGTAAACACAGACAAATGATAAAGTGAAAGTGAGGTAAAATCTGCCTGTAGAGAAGTTTCACAATCCTCAAAATGAAAAGAAGTGAACAAACATCTCACCTGGAAGAAAGAAGACACTCAGTAACATGTTGACTTTCAACACGTTCTTAGACTGAGCTGCCATCAGACTCTGACGGGTTTTCATCTTTCAGACTGGAAACAAGATGAAAGTGTCAGATTCCATCAAAGGAGTTACAGGATACAATTCAGTAAATATCACAGCACAACATTGTTGATTGTAATTTAGACTGAACTAATTGTTTTATTTGTTCTTCTAGCCCTGGGTGGGTTTCTTCTTCATCTCAAGCTGAGGTCCTCTACCAGAGGCCTGGGAGTTTGAGGGTTCTTCAGGGTATCTTAGCTGTCCCTAGAACTACACACTTCTTAACTGAGATGTCTGATCCTTCTCAAAGTATCTGCAGGAGTAACTTCTCCAGTATGGGGATTACTACCCTGAGGGCTCCACAGGCTCTTTAGTTACCTTCACCTTCCAGGCTTGCTCTAGTTCTTCCCTGAGCCCTTGGTATTTCTCATGATTTTTCTTTCCTGTTATTTCCAACATTTCAGATGGCCATATTGATCACTACAATTGTCCTCTGCTGCTTATCAATCATCATAATATCTGGCTGGGTGGCACAATCTTTTTGTTTGTTTGTATCTGGAAGACCCACAGGATCTTAGCTGTTTAATTCTCCAACACTATTGTGTGTTGCTTACATTTTGACCTGGGGCTTCCAGTTTATATAATGCACAGATTTTTCTATAGGCTATTCTGTACCAGCAATGCATTCCATGTATTCCTTTCCTGCTAGTATCTAACACTTTAATGTGAGATGGTGGATCGTTTCGGTGGCCTGTTTGCATTGTCTGCAGCTGAGATCTTGCTTGATATGGTAGATCTGGGCCTCTAAGGTATCGGTGCTCAAAGTAGCTCCGGTTCTGCCATGACCAGTGCTTCTGTGATGTCCTTCAGTCCGGCCCTCTCTAGCAATTGGTAAGATTTTGTCATATCAACCACTTCAGCTATCTATTGGTGGTACATCCCATGCAGGGGCCTTTCTTCCTATAATATTTCTTTTAGTTCATTCATTTCTAGCTTTAACCGTCTGAGACATTCGCCAAGGGCTTTATCCTTTGGGGCCATCTTCCTGTTATATTCTTGGAGCTTGGATGTTTCATCTTCAATGGTGGCTTTTAGGCTCCAGAGGCCTCTGCCTCCTTCTTTGTTCTTAGTGTTTAGTCTGTGGATTTGGGGTGGAATCCACAGAGCGATCCATGCTTTAGGGTGGAGACGGCAGATTGCCTCACTTTTGTTGCGTGCGGAACCTCAC